GTTTTGTAGGCAAACATTAATGCCTTGAATTTTATGCGAGCAGCTACTGGTAGCCAGTGCAAATTGATAAACAGAGGTGTGACGTGCATTCTTTTCGGCTCATTAAAAATTAATCTGGATTAATTGTAAAGGTTTGATAGAACTGGCTAGAAGATCTGCCAAGAGAGCATTGCAATAGTCCAGCTTGGACAGAACAAGAGCTTGAACAAGGAGTTGTGAAGCATGTTCCGAAAGAAAGGGCCAGATCTTCTTGATTGCCAGATTTCTGGCTGTTTTTGAAGGAGTTATGGTTGATGTGCCTAACTGGATGGTGAAATTGTGATGAAACGATGGGTTTGATGGAATCACAAGCAGTTCTGTCTTGGCAAGAACTGTTGGTTGTTGGTCTATTTCTTTTAGGTATGAAATGTCAGACTATCGTTTTTGTAAATGCATGTTTTAGATTTTGCTGTTTTAGTATATTATATTATAATTATATATAATGATTTTAAATAGGGAATACATTGAGACGGGGCAGTTCATAGGGTCTTTCAGTTGCTATTTAAATTGTTGGAATGAAATTGACATTGTTTTGTTTCCTCCCGCTCAGGTCCAGCATTACGGGTCGTGCCACAAGAAGTGGAACGGCAACTACCGGCAGCCACGCCGGCCACAGGCCTTCATCCCGCCCACAGTGCACGGCCCTACCTTCTCGCTTCCCCACGGCAGCCCCCCACACTCGGCCGGCCACCCGCCACCTCCCGCCCTCCTCTCCTATCCGCCTTCCGCACCCATGGCCCACCTCTTGCCTTCGCCGTGCCCACCACCGGCCCCTCGGGCCATCTTGCAGCCCGCCTACAGCCTGGTGCACCATCAGGGCATCAGCATGGGCATCAACCACAGGCTGCTGCCCTCCCCTACCCTGCTCCCGCAGGGCCAATTCAAAGCCCTCTTTCCCCCGCACTCCTATGTGGCGTCACCCATCTACGCAGGCTTCCCCCTCAGCCCCAGCAAACTCAGTCAGTACTCTTACATCTGAGCTGGAGCCCGCGGCAGCCACGCGCACGCAGCCGGCACTGAGCTGCCACATCTTTCTTTTCTTTTGAAGTTTGACAACAGTGATGATGATGATGCAAATCGAGCTTTATAGATACCATGGAACATAAAACAAACAAATGGATGCGTGAGTGAGTGAGTAGATTGAACACAAAAACTCACTTTTAATGTGTTTTTGCACATTTGATACAACAAAATCCCTAGTCGTGAGACCCTCGGCAGAGGGCCACAGCAGATCCCCTATGCTATTTTTCGATATTGCCTTCTGACGTGTGTATTAGACTCTCATTCAAGCCATCGCTGTCGCCAATGTGCGTGCGAGTCCCCTTGTGGCGACCTGGTGTTACCTGTCCGTATTTTTCCGTAGCTCCTCAGTGTTAAGTCTCTTTTAGACCTGTGTTGAAAAGGTTCTGTCACGCTGCATGTCTCTGCATGGGCATTTTTTTACTTAAAAAAAGGGGGGGAAGGCCTGCAAACCGTCGCTTTTCGCCCTCTGTGTATATGTTGTACGACTTGCTGCATTGAATCCATTGGGGTTCAATAAACAGTGCCTTAAAATACATGTTGTTGCAAGTTACCCCGAGTCCCACATGCAGTCATGCGTGTACTGGACTGCAGCACTTGAAAAACTTTCAATCGTTCTTTGTGATTTTTATATTAGGGCTGTTTCATACAGTAGATATTTGGTTTTTTCGTGCTTGGTGCATTAGCGCATTCGTTGGCTTACATAATCAATACATCGGTGTCGTTTCTACTTGTTTAATTCATCTCTTGGGGTCGCGACAGGAGTTTTTTTGTTCAGAAAGCAGATTGGGTATCTATCCAAATGCGCCCTAATGGGTCTCATGTTTTAAGCCAACAAAAAAAACTCACTATTCAACACCCGATTGGCTATTTGCGCCAATATTAGGCTCATGATTTGCCCTTTTGTACAGGCGAATGATTTGCGCATTATTTGGAAGCGAAACAGTCCTTTACGTGTGTTATTTAGAGGTGGATGTATTGTGCTGAGTGGTAGCTGAGCTTGATTCTTTGAGGATAACGTGCTTCGCCGTAGCAGAGGCCGATGAACTATGTATAGAAACGTTTGAGTACTTTCATATTTGATAATCTGTTTCTACTCTAATAGTATTTACACTGTTTCATGAAACTGCAATACAATCCATAGTTTTCGGGGTGTGTTTATCGTTTTCTTTCCATCAGTTCTATGTTAATTTTAGAGTTAGAAGTGTTATCGGTGTTGGATTTGTATCAGCAGATAGCTCTTTGATGATATTGTATGGTTTCATGTTTGCTTTGTGCAGAATTATTCAGTATTTGAGTATCCAACTGTAAAGTCTATCATTGCTGGAGTATTCAGTGCTTTATAAGACGAGAGTTGATCGTGTGCAATTTTCTTCATAGATGCATGTGACAAGATTGGATTTTGTATTCCCTCTCTCACAATTTAATTGCTTTTTTGATGTTGTTTTTATTTCATACATTCCGTCAGGGAGAAATAGCTTTTTTTTCTGTGTGAATTCATTTTTTTTTTTATTAGATTTGAGTTTTTCCATTAGGTGCATTCTTTCATTATGCTTTCGCTACACCAAAGACAGTCATCCATTTCTTAAGCAGAGTAGCTACTGTTTTAGCGTAGACCTCAAGCGTAGTGTAGTTGAGGCCATATTTAACAGAAAATCTTTGTAAAAATGTTGAGGTTGATGTTTAGCTTTTTCGGGCAAGTTATGACTTTTTCATTTATTCTTGAATGTATCATAGATAAGCTGCTATATACTGATTGCCACTTCATAATAGCTGTGAAATTAGATGATTAACTGTTCTTAGCCTTCTTATTTTTATATATGTCTAATGACCTTGAAATAGAAGTGAGATTTTATTTTATTTTTTTCTTTTCCGTTTGTTTGTTTTTGAGTTTTACCGTACTGACTGGCATCAGAAGCATTTTAATGCCTCTCTCTGTTTTGCTTTCTTTTTTTGAAGTGTCATTGTAACTACTGTATTGCAAGTAATGGCGATTTTGGGGTTTTTGTGTGCGTGGGTTTGTGTTCTTTTACGTTTCGTTTGCATCAGTGTTTTATCTGTTATCTTGGGGCTAATCTTACGTATTAGATGCATATTGGCGTATATCTATCTTAGTACGTATATTTGCATTTTGTTAAAGCATAGCTTGCAGGATAGATTTAACTTTTTGTTTTAAGTATCAATATAAATTCTGTATTCAATTACCCACTTATATCACCATTTCAGACTATTAATTTCAGTAATGCTATTAGCACTTGCTACTTTTGATAAGCTAGCCAAAATTGCTTTATTTATCCCCCCCCCCCCCCTTATTATTATAATTGTACATGAAATACACACATGTATCAGGTATATTAATGTGTTTAGAAATGAAAAAACAAGACAAAATGCACGTTTTGTTCTGAGTTATTAGGGCATCCGTTCTCATTTTGTGGGCTCTCATTATATGGGTATGTTTGTTCTCGCATCAGTCCCTGCTCTTTAAAGCAAGCGACACTGCGTTAGTGCCTTTGAAATGTGCTTCAGACCTTTATATCCCTTCTACAAACACTGCCGGCCAGCCTCTTCCTCTCTTTCATGCCCCCTCGGACGGCATGACCGAGGAATGAAAGCGTAACTGCAGTGTTTGATAGTCGTAACTGAAGTGCTGTTACCAACCAGTTGCTTAAAAGTAGACCATAATCCACGGTAGACATCCTGTCAGATGTTGATAACCTGAAAACCAATAGCGCGAGTCATGCAATGCAGTAATCACCTTTAAGGTGGAAAATGGATGTTTATTTCTCAAAATTGTGGAAAGGAAATCCAGTCATGCTTGATTCATTTATATTTTTATGACCAACAACAAAAAACAATAATGAAATGATATCAGGGATTGTTATGATTATTATTATTATGCTGACTAAACACCCAAGACACGGTTTTCTCATATTTGGGGAGCTATACATGATACACTGTGAATGGAAACCACCATTTGTCAAGCAGAATTAACATTGCCCTTTGTTTCACAGAACGTTATCAGAGTTTATTGCTTTAGCGTAGCCGACTTCATGGAGATATAGTCCAAAATATGGTGTGGTTTCTCACATTATGAACCTATATTTTATATTTAGCATGTAGCACTAGAGATGAGTACTAAATTGCTACTCATGCACACACATTATATGAATTCACTGCATTAATTCACTGCAAGTAAACATTTCAGAGATGTTTTCATTCTAACAAGGTCTACCAAACCCAACCTAATAAAAGAGTGAATCTTAGCACAATTGCTATGGACTGAGGGATCTGCAAACTAAAGTTGAAATGTCTTTGAAAATCCCAAACCAAACCGTTTTTATTTGTTTTCTTTGATTCATGTTTTTCTTTTAGAAGTTCTTGTACAGTTCATTCAGGGTCCTTGAATTTGTCATATGTGCTACTGTGTAACACTTGCAGTAAGATTTGGGTTGGATTGCTTTAGATCTATTTTTAAATCTTCTGCAGATTATATTTTAGTAAAAGTTAAATCTCACTGCAAGTTATCGGTAATATTTAGACTTAAGAGCCAACAGACTTGATTTAGTCAATCTGAACTGTTACCGTTTTCATATTTGTACATTTTTTGTGGCTTTTTGATTTCTGTTTGCTTTTGATTTCTATGCTACATTAGTTTGTCATGTAGCCACTGCACTGTGCAATATTCACTATATGAGGACTGGGAAACCTTTTTTGTTTGTTTTTTTCTTTTATTTTTGGGTGTAATGTCTCTTACAGTTTGCAGTCGTATTTCTCTCTAGTTCTCAGTGATTTATATGTGACCAAGCCTTATGTACTTTGTCACAAAAAGCGGGTTTTCCTGGTGACTATTTGGTGAGTGTCAAATTAAAGAAATTATGGTGTATTGTCAAAATTCACTTTGAATTAAAATATATATTGCTGCGGGCACACACAGTTTGTTTGTCTTTATTCAAAGAAATCTTTAAGACAACTTATTTGAGACAATTTTCCAACTTGATGGATATTCATTTGTTCCTAGAAATGTTAATTTCAAATTTCTTATAACACAAAATACAAGGGTTTTATTTTCTGCAGATTATTTATATTTTGTCTGTTATATTTACACTAGATAATAATTATATTTAAAATTAAACCACAAATAATATGGTATTAAAAAGTGTACCCGAGACATGACAAAAAAAAAACTCGAGTTGAAATTAACGAAATTGCGCCATCATGTGAGTGGAATCCAAATCTTTTAATGACGTCTTATAATGGTGCTTCCGGTTGTTATGTAACAGACACCATATTATAAGCACACAAGGACATTTATTATGCTAAAACCTTTCTAAAGAGTAGGCCTACACGTATTTTAATACCCAGTTTAATACGGCTGGATTTAAGGAGCAATTCCAGGTCAATTCATGCTGCAGTTCACCTTCAATTTATTCTCCACTTTCATATTTAAAGCATTTAACTGTAATATTTAACCATATAACGTGAATCCACCGAAAACTGGTAATTTTAAGATTGTAGGTACCAGTATTAAATTCTGTCCTATAAACACACCTTGTGGTAAAATGAACTTTAAACTGTTTTTTAAAGGTATAGCAACACTATAAAAGATTGCGTTATTACGTTTATTTAAGATTCAGATTATACGCTTTTTGTAAAGAATTTCATAGAATGGACCATAATAACAGGCTGTATGATGTCGAGGGACAGAATTGGTGTGTACATTGGCACCAGTCATCCTCATGTAAACCCAGCAGAGGTCGTCTTCCTCTTGTACACCAGTCCTTCTAATAAGGCGCCTCATCACTAGTTCGCTTGGAGACGTGATATTTTTTCCCAATCAAACGCAGCCGATTTTCCGTCGCAGCATCATTGACATAAGTGCGGGATTGTAGGATTGCCGCCGCTGGATTCCTATGCAGAATATGCTTTAATGAAGCACGATGGATAACCTGCTCCAGTAACGCGCGCGTGATTCATGTGGTGGTCTGAATGCGCTTTGCAGACGCATCGCCTTAAAGTTTCAATGCTGACATAGAGCAGAAAAACAGTGGAGAGAAGACCTCAGTCTAAGGAACTGGAAAGGATAGATCAAATGTCTTTTTCGGGACCTTTCGGCCTATTGCTGAATTTATCTCTAGCCAGATGGCCCCAAGAAATGCGCGTAACAATTTCTACATTTTGGGCTCCAGTTGCGGGAATGGCAACGCTGGAACCCAAGGCATGTCGGAATGGATAGGCTTGTCCTTGTGCCGAAGATGTGTTGACTTGGACGGAGTGTGGACCAAGTGTCTGATATCTGTTGGAATTGCATTGCTCCTGGTGCCGTCCATATTTGCCATAGACGGTGAGATATATTTTGGTTTATGTTGTTGACAACCTGTTTGAGTGCCCAGGTTCCAAACATTTCCAAAAAAAGGTTCTTTTGTTTATGTTTAATTTCTGAAACTGTAGCCTACGTTTGAATTTAAATTTAGAAATTCGAATAATTTCAATTGAACTATTTTGTTTAGAGGGTTTAATTGTTCAACGCAATGCGGGATATAAACTGGCCCTCTTATGAATAGGTTCTTTTAAAGAATCATCTAGATTAAGAGACAGACCGTACATGTTTGGATATTAACCGTTTGTGTGTTTGTTTTGTCTGCGATATGTTCCGTTTCCTGTGGCCGTCTGCGAGCAAAACAGCAGAAACAAACAGACACAGCAGAACCTCTCAGACAAAAACCAGTTGCAGGTAGCCCTACATCACTCTAAAGCGCTTGTGTATAAACAGCATGTGGCGTCTGATCGAGGCATTCAGTGCTGCAGTGCCGGGCGCTCTGTGTTCGCTCCTCAGAGAGAGAGAGAGAGAGAGAGAGATATATATATACCGTTCCCAAGAAACGTTCACAGCAGTTACACTACGTCAAACGGACTCAGCTCCACACCAAAACCACTAGTGCGCCATGTGAAGAAAAATAGTGTGTGAAAATGCACGAGACCAATTAGTTCAATTAAATGCAGGGTAGGTGACTGATTTAGTTCTGTGGAAGGCGTAGGACTATAAAATGTTCGACCAATCAGATTATTCAGTCCGAACATTACTATAGGCTTTCCTACCTGCCTGTCAACATGTGTATTTGCATACCTCTGCGCACCGTTGGCGTTATTATTAATATTGTGCGCTCTGTACTGCCATCTCTCATCACTGGTAAGCCTCTGGTCTGCCTGTGCACGTTCATGTGTTTTGGAGGAGGCGTGGCTTTGGAGAGTGATTATGCAGGGAGGGTGGGATCTTATGCTTTCAAAGCCAGCTTGCTATTGCTAGCCTTTAAATTATTTATTCAACTACAAAAACGTTTTGGTTCAGATGGCAACTGAACTGCAATTATAGTATGTTGCTGTTATTCTTCTTGAAAACCAAGACAAGCCAAGATTTAAATTCAAAATCGATTTTTTTTAACCATATAGGCCTAGAACAAAATTCTCACAATGTTCCAGGAACCAATAAGTGTTAACTGTGTCAAAAAATGCATAGGAAGGGGTCTTGTGATGATTCGTTTCCACAGTTATTAACTTTGTAAATCTGTAAATCTTTTATATTTTTATTCTTAAAAAATCATTTTAAATACTATACATTGTGTTAAATTATAGCCATAAATTCCAGAAAACTCTTTAATGCTGTTGTGTGGGTGTTTCCAACACAAGGGCTGAGGGAGTGATGGCAAATTTGACGTGTCTTCTGATCTCTTCTGATCACCATAATCAATCTCTATAATATTTTTCCTTTTTAGGTAAGTCATAGAAATGCTGTTGAGGATTTTGTCTTTTGCTGTTGGGTAAAATGAGAACACAAAAAGTATATTTGTTGTGGTTTCCATTCACGATTATAAATGTTTCAACGATTTTCACTTCTGAGAACCCTGGAAGTGTTAAAAGCATCAATTAACCAAAAAAGTGAAGATATGGCCATGAAATATTTGAGGTATTGAATTATTTTATTATCTTATTATCTTACTTGTAGAGACTGCGGAGAGACGGAACATCAGCACAGCCAGGTAGAAAATACAGTGTTATACTGGACAACAGTAATTTATTCATTAATATTTGACTGCTGACCGATGCAAATAACCAATTAGAAGCAAGTATTCTAGAGAGCTGTGTAATAATAAGATATAATTTATTTTCAGTCAGTGACAGTAGCAAAGTTGGTCCATGTTGTTGGCCTTCTGCTGGCATATCAATTGTTGTATCTATCCCCAATATTCTTGACCTTTGACCCCATCTCCATTCCTCCTCAAAATTATACTCAAGCATAGACATTTCTAGTGGTACATTAATATGGCACTTCCAACCCCATTCACTTCTCTACTAATGAAAAGTGTTGCAATATATCAGTAGCCTTTGCCTGAGGACCAGAAGAGCATTTAACCAAAAAATGATTTAATTTGTGCAAACAAGTTCAGCGTTGATTATGTGAACTAACTCCAGGCATGACGTCCCTTTCTAAACATCTCGAACCAACACAGATATCAGAAAGGCAGATTAGATTTTCTAAAGCTAGAATTACAGCAGATTAGTTATATTTGGGCACACAGACATGCATCGGTCTGGACCATAGGCTTAATACACAGAGGTAAAGAGCCTGTGCCTTCTCATTCATAAAACCGCCATTGTCCTTTTGGCTTTGAGCTGGGTCTATGGCGTATGGCCAGACACACCTGTGGCTTGCTGAGGATGAGGCATCTCTCCTCAATGCCCCTACAGTGATGCTCCTGCTAGTCAACAGGAGCCTGCTGTGCTATGTTGCCATGGGAACCAATCTACATTTTTTTTTTTTTTATTTTTACTGGTGTGGAAAGAGTGAGTGTATTACCAGAATGACAGTGATTAACTGCTCAGTTTGATTTTCAAAGGCCTTTTTGTGGCCTCAGACCTTCAGCAATTAGTTGAACAGAACTAAACTGGATTCATGCTTTAATTGACTATTTTGTGGGGATGTTTTTTTGTCACCTGTTAGTTGAAAGGTTGTGTGTAACCAGGAACCAAAGCCAAGTTTTAATGGAGTAGGCATAGTGTTTTTGCCCCTGTGGTCTGGGTATAATTATTATAGCTGGAGAAGCAGGTCTCTCAGTGCTCCTTAAGAATTGTGTTAGATGACTCGCATTTAAAAACACGGACCAGTCAATCTGATCCTCTCAAAATGTTTGAAGCATTGCTGCAAAACCCATCTGTTCACCCTCAAGAGTAGAACTGCGTTAAAAAAAAACATGCAATGACAACAGCGGGAGTCTTTGATTCACAGCCATGTACTGTTGAAATGACTGAGAACAAAGGGAGAGCTTTTTTCATTGTTAATACTGCCATTAATATAGTTTGCAACATAAAAGACTTTAGGTAAAAACTATTATGACTTCACTGTGAAATATTGATATGATTAAAGACAAGGTTGGCACAATATTATGATATATTAACTAGGCCTGTCAATCGATTATAAAATTGAATCAGATTACATTATATAGCCTACTGATGAATTAATCATATGGATTACATATCGATATTTGCTGAAATCATATGAAGATGGTTTAATGCCAGTATATTATTGTGGGAGATGAGTAAGATATTAAATAGGCATTACAAAAAAGGGCTTTAGAAATGATTAAAATTATTATTTTCCTATACAATGCATTTTCATATGACTGATCCTGTAATTATCTACAGTATGAAGAGTGCATGTTAAGCTATTTGGGTTTGAATAATAAGTTTAATACTATTAATAATAATTAAAATAATAATATTTTAATTCATTATTAATAATATAAACCACTATTAATTAACAAATAACATAATTCATAATTCTAACAACCCTGAAGTTTAATCGCTGAAGTTTAATGCGATTAATCGCATCCAAAATAAACGTGTATTTTTTACATAACATATGTGTGTGCACTGTGTATATTTATTATGTATATATACAGTGGGTACGGAAAGTATTCAGACCTCCTTCAATTTTTCACTCTTTGTTATATTGCAGCCATTTGCTAAAATCATTTAAGTTAATTTTTTTTCCTGCTGCAATATAACAAAGAGTGAAAAATTTAAGGGGGTCTGAATACTTTCCGTACCCACTGTATGTATGTATACATTATATATTTTGAAAATATTTGTATTTACAGTACATGTATATATTTATATTCATATAATTAATTTATATTATATACAAATATATTTAATGTATAAACATAATATATTTTTCTTAAATATATACATGCATATGTGTGTATTTATATATGCATAATAAATATACACAGTACACACACATATATTATGTAAACAAAAACTTTTATTTTGGATGCGATTAATCGCGATTAATCGTTGCCCAGCACTAAATTAATCTAAATAATAATTATATAATAATAATAATATTCTTTTGATTAATATAAATCACCAATAATTAAAAAATAATAATAATTCAAATTCTGAACACACCCCTAACCAGAATGTTAAAGCATTTTTCAATGGCTAAAGATGTAAATATCTACAAAATTATGGGAAGTGTATTTTAAGCTGTTTGGATTTTAATTAACTGCAGATGTTTAATGCAATTAATAATAATTAATTAAAATAATAACAAGAATAATAGAAATACTAACAACAATAATAATAATCGTTTGATTCATATTGATCTATAATAATTAATAAATAATGTAAATAATAATTCATAATTTGAACGCACCTCCAACCAGAATGTTGAAGGAATATTGATACAGTGCTGCCTTTCCATTATTTCTCGGTGTCTTGTTAAATTCCCAGTGTGGCCACACAGATCTCAGATACTCTTAAGTGGTCAGTGAATTATATCAGTGAAGGTGAAAAACCTAAATAAAGAGCATGATTTTATGACTCTTAGCCTTTTTTAAGCCTTTTGGCTTGTGCTTTAACCATCCATCTTGATTGTCTTTACACATTCCACAGAATTACATTAGAGCCGGAATAAGCTTTGTTAGCACCAGGATTCTTTCCAGAGGGTCAGCGTCTGCCAGGGAAAAGATGCTGCACACCACAACTAGTGTTGAAATGCTAAAATATCACATTTTAACAACTAGATGTGTGGCGTCTCAAACAGCCCTGAATCAGTTAATTATCTGCTAATGTCTGCTATGACCAAAGCAGCTGATCTGCTTCCCTGACTGACCGTTTTCACAGCTGACATGTTCTCATTTCCGACGATTCCACGCTTCATTAGCGAAACAGTCAGTGTGAAAGTTGATTATGTCGAGTCTGATGTGTTCTCTCTGCTTCCATATATACAAAAGGTTCTTTTTTTCCTGCTTCTTTCTTATTTGCCACAGCAAGGGCCTGCGC